CGGAGGCAAGAACTCCCCCCCCCAGCCCCTGCCTGTCCCTTTGGTCTTTTTCCTCTGCAGCCTCTGTCCCCACCCTGCCCAGGACCTGTTTTCTTGGACCGAGCGAATCATGGATCCCGACAGACAAACAAGGGCTCTAGGGCCACACTTTGTTTCCTCACAGATTTCCAAGACAGGAAAGGAAATCAAGGATTTTGTGGAGGCTGAAGCAGGAAATGACCCTCTTCTCAAAGGCGTCCCCGAGGACAAGAATCCCTTCAAGGAGAAAGGCGGTTGTGTGATAAGCTGACGGCCCTGGGGCCCCCTTGCCCTGAATGTCTGTCCCTCCCCAGCCCCACTCTCCACCAGGACGCGAGTGTCCCCGGATGCCCAGGGAGCCAGGCAGTTTTCACCGTCTCTGGGCCACAACATGAGTAAAGACACCTGGCCGTGCACTTGGGGGTCCGTTCCCCAACCCCTTCGACTCTCCCCTCCTCCACCTGCTGGGTCACTGCTGGTCCCACCTGGAGACCCTCTGAGGAGAGCCTCCTTGGCTCAGCAGCTGGCACCTGGCGCGGTGGGGGTCTGAAGAGCGTGCGACACCCTGAGACCTGAGATGGGAATCCTTAGAGACATCTGGGCCACCACAGGGCCGTCCTGTCTTCCCCTCCACTGTCTTCCGCAAACCGGCATTCCTATTCAGAGTAGTTTGGGTTGATCACGGCCGGAGTAGGGGGTGGGGGGGGGGTCCTTCTTCTCCGTTGTGTGTCCGATCCCTTGGTCCTTCCCCTAGTCACTTTAGATCGCCCCAGAGGGGCCTGAGGACAAAAAGAGCCTGGCAACTCATGATGTCATGATTTCTTTCGTATTCCCTTTTTTATGTTTATTTATTTATTTATTTTGGAGAGAGAGAGAGAGAACAAGCAAGGGAGGGGCAGAGACAGAGACAGAGACAGAGACCCAGAATCCGAAGCAGGCTCCGAGCGGTCAGCCCAGAGCCCGATGCGGGGCTCGAACTCACGAACCTGTGAGATCACGGCCGGAGCACAAAGTCGGACACTTAACCGACTGAGCCACCCAGGCGCCCCTGTAGTTGAGGTTCTTTTTTTTTTTTTTTTA